AAGTAATGCGCAGTTGTTATAGTAAAATTTGTTCATTTTACTATGGCAAATTTGTCTTTCTTAAATTACTATCGTTGTAATTCAAATTAATTTTATTTCAGTTAGAAAATCTTTGTTAATAGCTTACGTTAGGAACAATAACAAAAATGTTTTATTGCTATAAAAAGACTTTTTTAATATTTACTATTGTTTTGCAATGGTAACAAAATTTTTGTTATTTCCCTTAAAAAGAGGGGGAAAGGGCCAGCGCTCTCCTTGGTGAACATAACTTTATAATCCACAGTCTGTCTTACAATCTTATTGATTTCATTTGTCCGAGTGGTGTGGTTAAATCTAGCATATTTATTAAAAAAAAATTTAGTGTGCTATTAAACACTTTAAGTTTTATTGTGAGAGAAATAGGTTTAAAAACATGTCTAGGTAAAATGATGTAAATAGTCGCTTAATTACAAATCTATTAAATAATCGTTTACATTAATTAAAATTATGTTTTTCACATAATATAACGTTATAACAAAAGACATTTTTTATTTCGCAAGAATTTATTAGAACTTAATTAAATATGCAATGTTCGTTTTAAATATCGTTTTAAATAAATAATATAATTACAAAAAATGTTAAATTAAATGATTTATCACATGATAAATACTTATGTCATATTTCAATTAACATTATAAACATATAAAAGGCAATACCAATTTTCAGGTATAAATAAGATAAATATAAATAAGATTCTTTTAATGAAAATTAATTTAAAAATATTAATCAGTTACTGGTGTATACATACCTACTAGTAATACATACTAGTCTAGTAGGAAGAAGAAGAATGTGGAATGTTTGGTCCTTCCTTTTTTAGCTAATTAATTACATATCAATCATCGAACGTGGGACTTTTTAAATTATTTATTGAAAAAAAAAACTTGAAATGTTTGTAAATACTTTGGCCAAACAATGTTACGTTCCTAAAATTTCAAAATTTACTATTTGTAAAAAATCATTTTTGTCATAATCATTGAACATTAAAAGTGACAAGTTTATTACATTATTTCTTTAAACAAGCAGATTTTATTCTTAATTTAAGATTAACAATCGATTAGACAAAATTTTGGAAAATTCCCTCTATACTGTTTTTTAAGATATAAAACTATACTGGATATAAATGTAATTATATTTATTCTAAGATTAGTAAATATTGGTACGACTGGGCTATTCTTAAAAATATCCCCCACTCACGAAGTGTCCGACATTTTGGAAGATTGATTCTTGTGTTAGTTAATATTTGGTTTGGAATTATGAAAGAGCTGCTAAATTAGTGGAATTTGATAGAATTAACCACCAAATGTATGTGTAGGTAATAATTATTACATAATTATTTTTATGTGTGTAGTATACTATAGTATCATTGAGTAAAGTGTGTCTTTACTCAATGATAGTATTGTAGTATTGAATTTTAGATGTTGGAGTGATATTAGGTTGGCCGAAGAATCACATAAAAACAATTATGTATATTTTACCTCTAGATTATAGGTATGAATAAAAAATTTGTTTGAAATATTGTCTATTCTTTTTTTAACTTTTGCTCGACTTTAAATTGTAGTAGAAAAAATAATATATTATATTATTAATAAATCAAATTAGTGTTACATTCTAGCTAAATTATTAATTTATGTTATGTTAAAACGGTAATTTAAAAAATCTCAACAAAAACAATAATATTTCCAAGAATGTTATAATTATTAAAGGAATGCAAATATGTACTCAAGTATATGCATTGATAACCTGAATTCTGTAGGAAATCCCTAAAACTATCAATGTTAAAATCACTAAAATTACAAATAAAATGTGTAAATCATATTATGTAACAATCTAATAAAAATAATATTTAATAAATAATTGTCAGTTTTCCACGCGTTACAAATATATTTTGTTTATTTGTTTTTCAATAATTTTAAAGAGTGGGTAATATTTACAAATATTATAAATACATTTTATTTTAATAACAATAACATTACAAAGAATTTAATCAAATTAATTATGCTGCCCTACTCAGGCCAAACAGGAAGTTAATAACTATCCAATTAGATTAAAAAATAATATAATTGTCATTATATTATTATTATTATAAGGTTTTCCATATAAAAAAGTCCTTTTTTACACCGCCGTACAATAATAAAAATATAGAAAAATTACATAGGAAAAGTGGTTCCATCTATTGCATTTAGCTACATATCAGTGAAAGTAACTGTAAAATTACAGGTCACTGTACAAAATTATAATGTAATGTCAAACTTTAACATTATCAAGAGTTCTTATTTAAATAGGCCACGTATTTCGATAAAATATTATGTCACTTTTTTTCGAAACTCAACTCGTTTGACTTGATCGTAACCTTTCAGGTTATGAAAAAAAAAAGCAAAACGCCAATAATTATTATCTGTGGATTTGTTTCGGGCCTAGGTTGTTCAACTTATCAACGTGAGGAAGTCGGTCTGTCTGACGTTCTCTCCAAATAAGTTTTAAAATAAACTCGTCTTAATGGTGGGCGTAAATAACACTGCACGACCTGGGACAGTGCAAAAACTAAAACAAGTTTTAAAACGATCATTTTGAATTTACTGCGTGAAATTACGATAAAAATCTAAAGGTGTTAGATCCGGAGTGTATGGCGGCCACTGTCTAAAGGGGGCTATTTCTAATATTTGTTTAACATATCAGCGATATGATATCACCAAAGTTGTCATTTTTTAAGTATAATACCAATGAGCTTTATCAAAACAAATTTTGCACATTGTAATCTCTACTTGAAACAAAATTACTTAATAAGCGTTTGATAATAGTGTTTGGCATGTTGCACATGTTTATTGAATTAATTCTATACTTTTGCAACCTTTTCCTTTACAATCAAGGCCGTGTATTTTGGGTACGAAAAAATTCATAGAAAATATTTTTAATCCTATTTATAAAGAACGGTTTACATAAGGTTTTTGATGCCAAAATATTTACATTTCTGGGACTTGAGATATAGGTACATATTTATTAATTGGATAAATATATACCTAACACATATATTAATTATTGTCAAATTCATTCAAATAATAACATTTATGAGATAAGGATACAAGGGTGTAGCAATATCAAATGTATTTCGTCACAAACGAGATTTATATTACTTAAATGTTAAAGATGACCCACTTTCTTAAACAAATTTCAAACCGTAGAAATCAAATTTTTGCTCCACTCGATTTAACATTGCATTTAATTATTAATATTTAATCTAGACAAATTTTTTTAAGCATAAAGGAATAGTTGGGAATATACGGATGTCTCCCCCAAATACACTGGGCATCAAAAATAAAAAATCATTGCGTATTTACATAATATGAATACTGTGAGAGGACAGAGTATAATCTTTTTTTATTTATATGGCACCGTTATAGTCTGCTAAACAAAATGGTATTCACCTGTAATAATTATGTTGGCTATCAAAAATAATAAAAAAATGTGTAACACATTTTATAATTTTATTCGGTTGGTATATTGTTTTTTAATTTTATTTAATTAACATTGAACACTCAGTCGGTATAAATTTAAGAAAATCAATGAATATATTATAAAATGTTTGGTTAATAATGCAACAAGGTTAAAAATAAATTTCAAATTAAGTACCATAAAAAACCGGAAGTTCTAAGATATTTTATTTAGGAATATTAAATTAATGCAAAGAACAAGTCCCTATAATTTAATTAATTAATTTAATAATTTTTTCAAATTAGTTGTAATAATGATTGTTATTTCCAAGTAATTTAAAACTGGATAATTTCCAAAAATGTGTACAAGTAACAAAACCAGATCAAAGTTCAATTACCCTAAGCTTTAGACTCAACCAATATTATTATAAATAATTTAATAAACAGGGTGCACCATCTTTGGCGATAACAAATTTAATTCATAGAAGTAATCTCAATTCAACTGAAATAATGCAAAATTATCATTTACTTATTAATAAAATGTGTATTAATGTTATAAAATATTAATCAATTTATAAACAAATCTTACAAAGTAGATTATATTATCAAAATATTTAAAAAACAATTTTATCTAATTTTGTGTGCTCGAAAATGTTTCTATCCAAAATTTAATAAACGTTTTAAAGGTAGGTATTAATTTAAATAATTCATACATACACTGAATAAAAACCAAGGGTTTTTGTAAATGTTTTTGCTCATAAATTTATTGAAATATTTGGAAAAACATCAATTTTAAGTAGGTATTGTAAAATGGTAACAATTATGTTAAGTTAAAATTAACTCAAAAGTGAATCAAATTTAATTTTTGATAAGGAAATATTTGACCATGACATTATTTATTAGAGATATTCAGGGCTGAACAAAAATAAAATTATTTTGAGGACACAGGCAATTTTTTAGCACGTTTATTTATTACTTCCTATTAAAAATGGCCACCATGCTGGATTAAATCCAAAATTTTTGATACAGGGTGATAGTTTTACCACGAGGTTAAAGATTTTATTTTCAGGTTGTTTTTTATTATTATTTCTCTAAATGCAAATTTGATAATATAAAGTTACTTAGGTATTGTTTGAATAAAAATGTTAATATTTATCAAAATTTAAACACCCTGTATATAAGGCATTGGATTAATTTTTTAAATAGATTTCCTTTAGAAAAGTATAATATCTAGGAAATAGTACACGTTTTAAATATAAAAACTTTTATCGCAATAAATTAGGACAAAATATGTTGTAATGACATTTTTCTCATCTCAACTCCATATTCAACATTAAATTATAAAGTTTTGCATGTAATTTTACTCTATTTGCATAAAAAGTTGTCATTATTTACATTAAGAAACAATTTTTGACGTCTTATAACTCAACGTCAAATAACTAGCCTAATTTTCCATAACATTTAGGTGCCGGCCACATTGCGACCAGATTGGATGCGAGAACTGATTAAACGAACGAAAATATGAATACTTACGGTTTGTTAGTCCCTGTTTTTTAGCGAATTTAGACAATCAATGTCCAAATTGGAACTTTTCACACAAATCACAAGAATTTCTTGCTAAATAACACGAAAAACTGCTTAAGCAAATGAGTTTAATCTCCACGTGCTAAGATGTTGTCTATAAACTTTACATCATGGCGGCTACCGGTCGGTAATAGCAGTTTCAAAATTATACGCCACCAAAAATGGTAGCAGAGATTCGTAATCCGGCTTAATTTGAACCATGTGGCGCCATCTAAGTTGCAAAAAGCAACTAAAAAGAAGTTTACTTTAGATATTACAAGATAAACAGACGTATTTTTTAATGTTTCATTAAATAACATGAAAAATTATACAGTGTTAGTTTATTTTGTAAACAAAAAGAATTAATATAACAATAAGATAAGGATTTTTATTTACTGTCAGGGTTGTGGCTCCATCTTTGAGATATATTTATAACCTCATGGTTATAAATAAAAAATATAGATGTAGACACTACCATAATAATTTAAATGGAATCTATGATTTAATAATTTAAAAAAACCGTTATATTTGAATACAATTTGGCGATTTTAAGGTAATATATTTAATTTTAGGCAAATTAAATTACAGTTTTGGGTTAATATGATACAAATGAAGTATAATAATGTTAATTTGTAGTATTTTTTTGAAAAAAATCATATTACCCAAGTAACACGACGTGACGGCATTCTACTAGATTTCACGAAATCGTCACGCTCGTTCTTTATAAAGTTCATTTTTATATAAATACGTTATCAAAATGAGGGTGACGCCTGCGTCACTTCTAAATTTTTGACGGAACCGTGAAGATTTTTCGTTATAAGGTAACTTTTTAAATAGATACTTCATAGAAAATTTGTGACGTTTGCAGTGCACTTTATTCGTGACGTTCTCGTGTTTTTAGGAACGAGATCTCTCGAGAGAGGGCGTTCTATAACCTTCTTTATCTCTGTCAGATTCTCTGGTCAGCCATTTTCATTGTCGTTGTTTTGTAGAGACGCTGCCCCACACATGTGCTGCGTTTTTGTTGTTTTTATTGTTATCATTTGTTCTTATTCAATGGTTTATAGATAAGGTGAGTTTAATTTAAATTGTTTTAATTACTTTGGCTTGCAATTTTGCTAAAATTCCTATTAGTTCAGGAATTGTATTCTTTTCGGTATATATTTGTTGCAATATATTGATGACGTTGTTTTCAATAATTTATATACCGTACCTTCATTTGCAAGCTATACATAGGGAAAATACATTTTAGGTGGAACAGACAAGTCGAAGTCGCGCCGGTCAGCGCGAAACGAAAATGTTCCCAGAAATTATTTTGACGAGTGGATGAGTAGACATGCGACGTAACAGGTGACTTTGTTTACTGGTTTAGTTTTTGTGTCTGTGGTGATTTTTTGTATAACAAAAATGGGTATTTGAACTTTAGTACATCTACGTATGTAATTAAATGTACATTTTTTATTAATAAATAATTAATATTTAATTAATAAATGTGTCTTATTTAGCAAAGGAAATTAATTTATGTAATTTGGTTATTATTATTTACTGTAAATGCATACTTATATTAGATTTAATCGATTTTTGACCATGGTGGGTCAATAATGAAAGCTAAATTTCTGTAAAAAAACTTTAAAGAAATTTAGCTTTCATTATTGAGAGACCATGGACAGGAAGTGATAAAATTTAATAAGTATGCATTGACAGTAAATAATAATCGTCACTAATTCGTCACAAAACTGCAAAGCAGATTCTACCACGGATTTAGTGTCAAATTCGTCACAATATTGTGATAAAAAACATAAAGAAATTGTCACGACTTGTAGGCACGCCTTCGTGAAGATTTCGGGGGTTAAAATTAGTGCGGTTTGGCCACTGTATCAGTCACAGAATCTATAAATTTTCGGGATCACGTTGAGCTCACGACAAGTAAAAATCGTAACAAATTTTGCAACGATTTCTTCACGAGGTGTTACTTGGGTAAGGTGAACCTTGGATTTTGCAAGGATTAAATTTAGGGTCCTTGACCCAGACAGACGTTTGCTACCCTTGAGTTTTATGCGTGCAACGCATTTTTATTGCCATACGAATAAAGTAAAAATGTTTTGTGAAAATCACAAACGTGGGACATTCATAAAAAATTTCCACAAAGGAAAAAGCCATTATAACTATAGTTATAATGAAGGCTTTATTAATGTTTATTTACGGAAGTTGAGCGGCTATTTTTAGCGACATGCGCACGGATTTTTACCGGCAAATCGATAGCCGGTATTTTGAGTTGTTCCTGGTAAAGCATTTGGCTTTCTGGAGTTTTCTATAGTGATGCAGTTTTGACCTTTTCATGAAAGTTGCGTTTGGAAAATAATAAAAAATTAAGAGACTGCGTGAAAAAGTCAAACGAAAAATTACTTGAAACAAGAAATTAATCAAAAAAACATTTTACTAAAAAATATATATAAAATAATTAAATATTAAAAAATGAAATAAGGTAAATAATAATGATGAAAATTATAATATAATACAAAATTTCCTACCTAGGGACTTAAGTAAGTAACTAATAAAAATTAAAAGTAAATGTTGTTTAAAAAAGATATTTAATTAACATTTTTTAAACTTTTTTAATTATAAATCTGCATTATTTTAACATTTATTAGATAATAGTTTGAAGATTAAAGTTTAATACCTAAAACTTAACTAAAAGCTTAAATTAATTTTTAAAATTTATAGTTCAAATATTTTATTCTGCAAAATCGGTTTAAATTTATAAAGAGTCATTTAAATTATATTCGATAAAATTTTAACACAAAATTTCTCACATTACATTTAAATGTAATTTTTAAATTTTAAAGTGGTATTTTGGATTAAAGATTTATCGACCATCATTTAAATGACTCTTTACAAATCTAAGCCAAAACTTTTTATTTTGAAAAGCATTTTAAATTGATACATTTTTAACACAACATTTATTATTTAAGTCGATAATTTTTAATTTACAAAGTGTAAACGTAGCTTTAGCTGCAGCATATGCAGTCAGCTAAAGGAGCGTTTACACTGGTTGCATTGTTTAAACTGAAGTAGTTCGATCTCGTACTAAAAATACTAAAAATCACTGCACAATATTCAATGGCGGCCATTTTTGTTGTTTACAATTTTTGTGCTTTGGGTTTGTACAGATTAATAATCGTTTTAAACGTTATGTTTCTTACAGAAAGACTTGCAAGCCTTAAAAGAAATCTCAAAGTGGTAAGAGCAATCATTTTACTCCTCTTTTGTAAAAAATAAACCTTATTCTATCAGGGCTGTCAAATCTCAATTTGAAGGTTAATTTGTGGGTTATAAAATAACCTTAAGTGGCCTTGTTATTAATAATAATAATAATAATAAGAAAAAGTTTCGTGATTATTGCTTATCTTTTTCAAACCAAATGGAAACTTAACTACTAGATTTTTCACAGAAAGGTTTAACCTAACAGCAAATAATTTTTATTTTTTGTTTTGTTTCCCCTTAATTTTTTAATATTCAAAATTTTTTCAATACAGAAGTGAACTTTTAGTTAGTAAATTTTGTCTTTCAATAAAACGATAAAATTTTAAATTGAAAAATTATTTAATAAATGTTAAAACGGCGTGCCATACATATATATGTATTTCATTTAGAAGACGTAATTGTATTTTTATTTGGCCCTTTTGTAAAATGAATGATCAAACTTTACATTGCATAATGAAAAATCTGGTAGTAATCACTTTTCTTGCTTGCACGCCAAGGCGGATCGGTGTACAGGGGGGCGTCGCGGCGCGTCGGTGCGCCTCGACGCAGAAGAAGAAGGCGTCTCCCCCACCATTCCAAGGTCAGCGTCCTAACGCTACGCCGGCGATTGACCTCGTTGCACAGTGCAGACTTCGCTGCTACGCTCACTCATACCCCTGCGAGTCTGCAACCCGCCACCCTAGCCGCCCCCGCCTTACTTCATGGCCCACCTTCGCAGCTTTTGCTTTTGTCCAAGGCAAGCTTACGTATTCCTTTAACCTCAGAAAAGCCCTTTTATGTTGCATATAATCCGGTCTCTAATAATTATAATAAATAAGAATATCACATAAAAAATGAGATACTTTATCCCACCCAAAATTTTGATTCTATAGGTTGGCTATACTTTAAACAGCATAATATTCTGCATATTGGTTATAATATTTTATGATTTTTCTAGTACTTACGAGACTTTTCTGGCAATAAACTTTGTTTAACACCAAAGAAAATACTTTTTTTTCTTCTTTAACATTAACAGCCGCTTATTGTAAATAAGTAAATTAAGGACGGCATGGCGAATCGATTTTGACATTAACTGTCAAACCAATGACTGTGATACCAACTATCTAAAGTAAAATTCGACCAAATTAAATTTAAGGTTTAAAATTAATTTTTTGCAAAATAGATAAAATAGCATAAAGAAGTTCTTTAATATACTAATATGTTAACTAATTGAATAATTAGTTTGTAATTAGGTATATTATAAAATGGTTTGAATAGTAGTTAATAAAAAAACTATTCTTTTATAATTAATACATATGTATGTACCTATATTAACTTTCTAACAAATAATTATTAACTTTTTGTGTAAAAATATTACTTTTAAAATACTTCTAATTATTTATGTTTACCCATACTCTCTTAAAATGAATTTAATGAAATAGTCAAAATTGTACTATTTGAAATAGTACCTACCAGCATTGTTTACTAATAAAATAGTCGTTTTTACTTTTAAAAATTTATTTTTTTACTACTTAAATACCTAGTTAAAGTTTGACTAATTTAAGATAAGTCACCATTTTTGACTAATTTTATAAAAGTAGCAGTGGCGCATTGGTTATACATTCGCTTGACAAGCTACAGACATGAGTTCAAACCCCGGCTGGGTCATAACTTTTTTTAAATTTAAATCTACTTATTTGACTATTATATTCGGTAGAATTTAACTAATGAGGTAGTTAAATTTTTTCTGACCTATAATTTTTATGGTTTTATTCAAGGCGTTTTGTAATTTTAAACATTTCTGTGAAATCGGAATTTCAATTGAGTTTATCGTTTTCGAGATATTTACAAAAAAAATCTCATAATTACGTCACTAGGCTATTGACAACGTTGCCAGCTTTATATATGGTTGCCAGTGTGTTT